CGGGTCTTTACCAAATGCTGTTGTCTCTCCCTGCTTTCTTTGGTCATGTGATCCATAAATCTCCAGAGTGTCCCCTGCCTCTCCCTATTTCAAAGTTCATTTAACTCAAAGAACCTTCACCAACTGACAGTATATTCCCTTTTACCTGTTTTTTAATGATTGGTCTATAAGGTGAAATGAATTTACTGAGAGCTTTTACAGTTTGTTCCAGATTCTGCCCCAGGTCTTTGATCATTGTTGGATACTAACTCCACAGTACATAGCTGCTGGAGTGGTGTTTGTAGAGCTCTCATAGAACACTGCTATAGGAATGAGTAGTAAGCAAAATCCCCTGTGTTAGAAGTGTGGCTGCCCAGCCTCATTCTGGAAGGCTCACTGAGATCCCCAAGCCCATTTGTATTCCTGAGAGCCAGAAAATGATGTATCTGTTTCACCTCTACCCCGTTTTCTTGCCCCACAGGGGATGAACACAGCTGGGGGAACTGGGGTCACTTGGACCAGGTGGCTGCCCTGCGCTGGGTCCAGGGCAACACTGCCAGCTTTGGAGGGAACCCAAACTCTGTGACCATCTTTGCGGAGTCAGCAGGAGGTGAAAGTGTCTCTGTTCTTGTTAAGTGCTCCACTGTACAGTCTTTAATGTGGTAATGATGGAACCAGTCACTCCAGCCCTAGCCACCTTTGCATACAAGACTTGGGTTTGGGATTGACTTTACTCATTACACAACAGCAGATGATAGGAAGCCAAAGCCCCACTGCTGTTGGTCCCCAGGAAGCTCAGAATGCAATGTCCCATGACCACGAGAGTCTGTAGCTGCAACTTGTAATAGTAACAGTCTTGCTGCTGTTCTGGTTTGAGTTTTCTCTTTTAGTAGGCATGAGCATAAACTGCAAACAGGAAAAGGTGAGGATGCAATCAGGATAAAGTGTTGCAGTTTCACTGAGTAGATCTATGTGATCTGAGTAGATCTATGGGATTCAGGCACCCAGAGCAGGGGCTTCCTCTGAGGAAATCTGATGGCTTGTGAGTGCCCAAGACACTCACTGCAGTCTCTGAGGATGAGGGTGGACTGGTGGAAGTGGGTGAAGGAAAAAAGCTTGGAAGATGGATAGGAAAGGGAGGGATGGTACACAAGATGGGAGCCACAAGCATAATCCGGGGACAGGGGATGCCTTGCTGGTGTAAGTAACAGGGCTGAAAGGACACTGAGGGAAGTGATTACAGTTCTGGATCATAAAAATCCCTCCAACTAACTCAAAATTGAGCAAAGGGTCAGCCCAATTTTTTAAAATCCATGTTAGTTGGATAACCACAGGGAAATTATTTTATAGTTTTTAAAGCAGGAAAAAAAGTACACAGAAACCCAAAGAAGAAGAAAATCATTCACAATTCCATTACTCAAGAATAGCCACTACAGATGTCTTTACATGTGTTTCTCTTTTTTGTACAGTTTTATGCACATATGTATGTATGTATGTATGTATATATGCATCTATCTATCTATCTATCTATCTATCTATCTATCTATCTATGTATCTATGTATGTACGTATGTATGTATGTATGTATGTATGTATCTATCTATCTATCTATGTATCATCCCGTCATCACTCTATTCATTATCTCTCATATTTTTTCTCTTTAACTGTTATTTTTAATGAAGAATTGTAATGGAGCATAAATACTTTTCTAGTCATTAATAATCTTAAACAAGATTATTTTTATAATTGAATAGTATTTCATGATACAATAAACATTGCTTATTTACCAAGCCTCTTAACATTGAAACTGTGGTTTATTTCCAGTTTTCACTCATATTAACAATATTGACATTCTTAGATATCTTTGTGCACCTCCACTGACATTTCCTCTTTTGCTCTTCCTTTTTATTTTTACCAGTGCTAGATATTAAACCTATAGCCTTGGAAATTCCAGGAAAGATTCTGCCACTAAACTACACTCCTGGCATTCTCTCTCTCTCTCTCTCTCTCTCTCTCTCTCTCTCTCTCTCTCTCGTGTGTCTGTGACTCTGCTTCTCTCATGTTCACTGTCTCTCTGTGTCTGTCTCTGTCTGTCTCTCTCTCACTCTCTCATTTAATGATTACTGTTCTAAGGATAAATTCTAAGTAAAAAAAAAATGCTAAAAAAGGATTACCATGCTGTCTTTCCAATGGTTTTAATTGTTGTGATGAGCAGGTGCCACAATCTTCCTGTTTTGTGCCTAGCTCTGATGTCTGCTTCTGTCCTGCTGATGTCCTCTTGGGAAAACTGGGCCCAGAGAGATCCTGGGAAGCATGTGGGACATGTGAGTAGCTGCCTTGTTTAGGAATCATCAAAGTTTCCAAGTGAATAGCAAGACCAGACAAGCAGATGAAGGGAGCCTTAAGGAGCAAGTGAGTCACTGACTTCCTCTCAGTGAGCACCAACTCCTCCTGTCCACTCCCCTGCCAGGTACTATCCCCTTAGGCAAGAACCTCTCCAACAGGGCATTTCTGAAAGTGGTGTGGCCCTCGCTGCTGGTCTAGTCAGCAGGACGTCAAGCCTCTGGCTACCATAGGTCTCCTACCTTTTCTTCTTTTTTCCTGGAACCTTTCTTTCAGTGGAATTCAACCGTTATGCTCAAAGGCTAACTCACTCAGAATAGCTGAGCAGGAAGGCCTCTTTTGGGGCTCACATTTAAGTCATATTCTGTACTATCTGAGGTGCCTTCATGTGAGTCATGTTATCTAGGCCTCTTGCAGTTTTGCACAAGTTTCAGGGTGTGAGAAACATGATGACCTTTGAAGCATGTCACATTGTCCCGGCCTGTGGGTAAGTCCACGGAGACCTAGAGGGGGAGTGGGGATAAAGAAGGGACAAGAGACACAAAGGATGGAGACAAGACGAAGTCTGATTAAGTCTCGTTTATTCATGGAAGGAGTAACATATATACATATATATATATATGGTATTGAGGAGGAGGGATTTGGGTTCTGAGACGTCAGCAGCTAACTTAGCAACAGTGGCAAGACCGAGGGTTATAGGTCAATTCAAATTTCCTGGGCGCGGGCTCATAAGGCGGGCTAATTAACATAATTCCTGAATAGGCCAACAAGCTAGGTAGGCAAGGTGATGCTTAACTACCAAACTTAACTCCTAGAGGAAGTTAAGGTGGTGCGGCCTGCAGATATAAGGTGGCAGCCAATTACAGGGCTTCCCACAGGTCCCCCTTTACTTTAAAATATAAGAGGCATATAAGAGGCTGCATCCTTGAGGAGACTGTGCCTGTCTTGGGTCAGAGCGCTTCCACAGGGGGGCCAACCTAGCCTTACCCGTCATTGGAAGGCAGGGCAGCAAGAGGCCCAGTTCCTGTCTTAGGTGGAAGTTGGCATCCTGTGTGAGGCCCAGTTGTCCGTTTCTGGCTATCCAGTCTATCACACCAAGGCAAGAGAAATGGAGCCGGCAGCATGCTTTCACAAAGCATTATCATAATACAGTTTTGCAGCTCCACGTAATTTTTCCTCTATCAGCCATTCTAAGCCTGTGGTAATGGATTTGTAGGTTGCATTTTTATGGCATCCACCTGTTGTTTGACAAAAGCCATCAACTTAGTCATCATAATCCCTGGAGACAGGATCCAGGCTATTGGTTCCATCACCTGAAAGACAAAAGGTGCAAAAAAAATTCTCTCAGGGGTCATTTTTCTTCCCTGGAGTCATCTGTAACATTATCCTCTATTTGTTGCATTTGATCTATTTGTTTAACTAATCGTTCTGGCAGCCATCTTGCAGATTTCATCTCTTTAGAGTAAATGCATACTGATCCTCATCCCCAGATAAGGACTGGGTCTGGACCATGTCATGAGTTAGTCGGGGAGGTCTCTCCATGGTACAGAAGCAAATTACTTTTGTGCTTCAGTATGCCAAAAATGGGTGGCTGCTGACTGTCTGGCACACCCAAATTTAAAAAATTAAGTATGAATAAGGCATGAGAGAATATTTTTAGGTGTCCCCTTTGTGGGGTACCATTCCCCCTTTTTTATTTTATCAATAGTGAGTTTTAGTGAGAGATGTGCCCTTTCAACTATGCCTTGACCTTGAGGGTTATAAGGTATGCATTTTATATGATGAATATTAAGATGTTGATAGAAACAAGCAAAGGCAGAACTAGCATAGCCTGGACCATTATCAGTCTTTAATTGTTGTGGGCATCCCAAAACTGATAAGGTAGTTAACATATGGCTAATAACATGTTTGATAGCTTCGCCAGTCTGGGGAGAGGCATAAATGAAACCATAAAGGTATCTATAGTTACATGAACATATTTAAGATTGCCACACTCAGGAATGTGGGTGACATCCATTTGCTATAATGCGTTGGGCATAAGTCCTCTAGGATTAACCGCAAAGTGTGGAACTGGGAGGTGCATGGCACAAGAGGGGCAATTTTTTACTATCTGTCTGGCTTGCTCTCTGGTGATCTTGTGCATAAGACGGAGGGTGTGAGCATTGAGATGGTGCAATTGGTGACTCTTGTGCTGAAGTAACATTGTCATCATGATCGGGCAGGCACTTGGGCCACTGAGTTAAATCTCCAGCCCTGTGGATCAAACTCACAGCCTTGTGCTTGGCTGGCAGGTGCTTATGTCGCTGAGCTAAATCCCCAGCCCCTGCTTAATGCTCCTGAGAGAGGAACTCATATCACCCTTAAATTGCTTTTGGGTCTCTCTGTCAACATACGCATCCTTCCCTATTAACATATCAAGGTCATTGCTGGCTTGCTATTGCACCTGGAAGTCTCTTTGCAATTTTCTATATATTCTGATTTCCACAAAAGATAATCCCCACCTTATAAAGTCACTCGGGCCAATCCTTGCCAATCTGTAGGTGTGAGCCAGCCAAAGAATCCAAGACAGCAAGAGTATACATGGCTGTGCCTTCCTACTGTGTAACCACTGTTTTTAATTCTCTATTCAGTTTGAAATCGAAACCAGAGTAGTCTCGAATAACTCCACCCTCGGCGTCTGTCATTTTCATCACAGGGAAAGCCTCCATATCATCTAGCTTTAATATTGGATCAGGCCAGGGGGGTAAATTTAGAAATCATGCCTCTCAGCGGGGGTCGCTGAGTGGGAGAAATCTTGGAGGAAACTCTGGGGTTAGTTTCACTTTTCATTTTAAATTTTGCGAATTTTAGCCTTTCTAATTGAGCTATCAAATGCTGATGGTTGTTTTCAGTTTAATCTGTTGTTTTAAAAGTTCAATTTGGTCTTTTAATTCCTTCCTAGTATCACGCTGAAGCCAGAGCTATATGGCCATTACAGTGTGGGGGAGGGCATGTGTGGCTAAGGCTGCACTGGGGGCTTTGTCTGCTCTGGCCACCTGGTGCATGGGGAGACTGCAGTGTTAAGCCTGGAGGGGGTTGGGGGCTAGCAGTTTACCGGGTCGCTTTGCTTCCGAGTTACAGTTTATTAAGTCCTAATGGACAATTGCTTAATTTTTTTCCCTTTACTCTTCGCGTCTTTAAAGCCTTTCTTAAACTTTTAACAAAAATCTCACATTGGCTCATTTCTTGTCTTAGTGGACACAATTGCTATTTTTTTTCCTTTACCCTTTGTGTCTTTAGAGCTTTTCTAAACTTTCAACAAAAGTCTCATGCTGGCTAATTTCTTGTCCCATAATCGCTGTTTACTTACCGAGGTTCAGTGGTGTAGCAGGCTCCCACATTGGCCCTTTATTTTCACATTTTTTTTTTCTTTTTCCTTTTTATCGGTACCGGGGATCAAACTCAAGACTGCCTGCTTTACAAGGCAGGCACTTATGCCGCTGAGCTAAATCCCCAGCCCCTATTTTGTTTTGCTTTTTCTAGTTTGGACCCATGAACAGCATCCCTCACTAAGTCCCCTGTTCTCAGGTCCCACGTTGGGGGTGCCACTTGTCCCGGCCTGCAGGTAAGTCCACGGAGACCCTAGAGGGGGAGTGGTGATGAAGAAGGGACAAGAGACACAAAGGATGGAGACAAGACAAAGTCTGATCAAGTCTCATTTATTCACGGAAGGAGTAACAAATATATAGGGTATTGAGAAAGAGGGATTTGGGTTCTGAGACGTCAGCAGCTAACTTAGCAACAGTGGCAAGACCGAGGGTTATAGGTCAATTCAAATTTCCTGGGGGCGGGCTCATAAGGCAGGCTGATTAACATAATTCCTGAATAGGCCAAACAAGCTAGGTAGGCAAGTTGATGCTTAACTACCAAACTTAACTCCTAGAGGAAGTTAAGGTGGTGCGGCCTGCAGATATAAGGTGGCAGCCAATTACAGGGCTTACCACATCACATGTGTCAATTTTCTGTATAAGACGGGGGAAAACATGCTTATGTGTGGCAGGGGAACACTAGACAAAGGATAAACCATGGAGGAGCCATGGTTTAGCCAGACAATGGAATTCGAGACTCTACGTTGTATATGCTTACTCCACACAGCCTCTCTTAAGACATTCAACTTTGTTAATTGTAACAGAGATAATATAACTAAGACAGATATATAGCTGGGTAAAGTCACAATTCCAGCTAGTAACAGGTAACACTCTGTGGGTTCCAGAAGCTGTATCAGCTGATCTGTAGTATTTGTGGGTACCCCATAAATGTTTTTAGAAATTGGGCTTGGAAAAAACCCTTCCATCTCCATTGATGGAGAGAAGAGACGTTGTTGTTGAACTCTGTTTTTGCATATGGTCCCTGCAGAAAATTGCTGCCACTGCTGGGTGCAAAACCACCACATCAGCTGTCATGGTTCACTGTCTGCACCAGAAGACAGAGGATGAGCTCTTGGAGACAACTCTGAAAATGGTAAATGTTTCCATTTTAGTGACTCCACCCTGTGTATTTGGTCCCAGGCTCCATCCATTCAGTTATGTCTTTGACTGGGTCTAATCTTCTGGGGCAGTTGCTCACCTTTCAGGAGTAGTATCTGCCTCCTGATCCAAACTGGTATTTTTATTCTTCCCTCTATATTGTAAAGTACTTCAGTTTTCAAATAAGGCCCAATGGTAGTCATTTTTGAGCATATAACAAAATACTTGAGAAAAGCAAAGGAAGAAATACTTATTTTGGCTGACAGTTTCAAGGTCTAAGTTCATTATCACTTGGTAATATTGTTTTTGGGTCTATGAAGAACCTCCTGGCAGAGGGGAATGGCTAAGGAGGACTCCTCACAGAGAGAGAGAAAGAAAGAGAGAGAGAGAGAGAGAGAGAGAGAGACAGAGAGAGAGAGAGAGACAGAGAGACAGAGAGACAGAGACAGAGAGAGGCAGGGGAATTCAGGACAAGATATAATCTCCAAGGGCATGCCCCCAAAAGATTTACTCTCTCAGACTATGCTACTGTACAGTTTTCCACAATAAATCATCAAATCATGACCACATGAATGAAGTCTGAGCTCTCCTGACTTAATCATTCTCACAATGTCACTTCTGAAGTGCTGTATTAGGGGACAAGCCTTCAACTCATAAGAATAACAGCTTCAACAGTAATATGATGAAAACTGCAGAACAAGCACTCAATTCCTTTTAACTTAATATTTTGCCATTCAAGTTTTCATTTGTATTTTAATGAATTAAATATTAGATATTTTTACAAATAGCTAAAATTCCTTATCTTAGGTGGAGATACTGTGATAAACAGAAATACTGAAACAACACCCACAATTTGGAGGCAGATTTATCTTACGTTGATGGGCACGGATCAGGATAATTCTTAAAATATCAGGCCCTGATCTTTGGTGGTCTAGGACTTAAACGTGATAAGCAAGCAGGAAGTATAGAGGCAGAATTGGCTAGTCAGTTGGGGATTGGTTCTTACAATATGCCTCACAGTGACCAGTTATGCACCAGTGACCAGCCATTTCTAGAAGACAGAAGCAACAAAAACTACAAGAGGAACTAACCTGGGCAGCTAAGAAACTGACTGGGGCATGAGAACATCTTGTGCTACAGAAACACAAAGTTTTTCAGAATGTTGACCCAATTTACCTTTGTTGATTTAGAGACTACATAAATTATAACATAGTAGTGGCCTAATATTCTATTTCAAAATTCAGCTTCAATTAGGTTTTAAAGATAATCATAAACCTATACAGTCACTCATCTATCATCTAGCCATATATTCATTTAAATATCATTTCATCCACTTGGTTAATATCTTTGATTAATCTAGTAATAACTCTCTGGTAAATAATCATTTATTTATCTTCAGTTTTCTATCATCCAGGAGTCATCCTGCCAACATATACCTACACTCTAACACCAGTTTTCTAAAAGTATCAACCTATTCATAATGTATCTGCTAGTTTTATCTTTTAACTATGCATCCACCAACTCACCAATAGTGTATGTATAGACCAATTTCTTCCCTGTTTCTTCCCTCCCTCCTTTCATCCATTCCCAGATAATCAAGATTCATCCCCTGAATGCCCATGCTCATAAGGGGAATATATAAGGAAAAACACAACCATATAGTTAGTAGATGAGACATAGTGGGGCCACAAAAGTGGTAAACAATTTTTATATCCAGTAAGAGTGCTTCTTGGAGAAGGTGATCCTTGAGGACTGATGGATGGCTGTGGTGATCTGCCATCACAGAGAAACTCAGCAGAACAAGTGATCAAAAAATAACATCCAGGGTCTATTAGATCAACCCCCTTTGTCAAGGAAGGTGTGAGACAGGAGTCATTTGAAGCCTTGGTCTGCAGGTCTGAGTCTTTGACACAGGAGGATTCTTTTGGACTCGTAGTGTTGACCACAATCCTTTTGTTCTGCCTGTGTGTCTATGAACCTAGTCCAGTATGATCTTGGTTCATCAGGCTCAGACGAAGAGACAAAAATTTTCAGAAAATTAAGATACAGCTATCTGCTATTATTTCCCAGATAGAGGTAAATATCGTAACTCTTCTCCATTTGGCATAGGAAGACACAGATTATACAACAATAGTTACTGCCACTGGGAATATTAAGGACAACTTTCTGAGATTCTTGAATGTTTGTGTAAATTCTTCTACAGGAATACCTCGACCCTAGTACTCTCTCTCTCTCTCTCTCTCTCTCTCTCTCTCACACACACACACACACCACTTATGCTTGGTGGGACTGCAAACCATAACAGAGTTATCTCTAGTGGTTGCTTCCCACTTACAGCTCCGACCTCTCAGCTTAAAGTGGAACGTTTTAATTCCTGCAGTCTTGGTAAGCAAATACCAAAGACAATCATGTGTTTCACTGAGTTTTGCTGAGCTTGTTTAAGTCAGGATTTTCTAATGCAGTTTGATAAAAACTATCTCAAGTTGAACAGAAAGGAAAAGTAATATTGTCACAAACTCTTCAGTAAAAGTTCAAGAGAAGATGGCTTAGATCCTTAGATCCAGCTAGCTGAACTTAGATGCCATGAAGATTTTATTGAGAATCTACCTTTCTTCATTGTTCTCTTATTTGTTGGCTTCTCTCTGAAGCAAATTAGTCCTTGAAGGAGCTGAGGGTAGGGGGTAGGGTGGGGATTTTAAAGACAACAGCAATCTAGACTAATCTCCTATCTGCTCAGATATATTTATCCCACCATTTTCAGCAATTGTTTTAGCATAAACTGTTGGACTGATACAGTTACGTATCCATCCTTGAACTAATTTCTATGTTCAGGGATATGAAGCTTCTCCCAGCTCCCAGTTCAGTGTGCTTGGTCAGTAACTGTTGTATTCTCTGGGTTTAGCCACACCCTTTTCATTTGCATTTCATCCTTCCAAATGGCCCTGGAAGGAAGTTACAGCAGAAGATTCTCTAAAGCAGAGTGAGTGGCTAAGCAGCTGAGGAGCCTTAGCCTTCGTTGAGGAGGAGAGATCTCCTGGGAGGTTACAGGCTTGAATAGCTATATATGAATGGAGACCAGGATCTCACTGCTAATGACAATACCCTCTCTGAAGATATATAGGAAACCCCAGTGGTACCTTACCTTTTCCTCCTACCTCCTTTCCTGTTCCCCAGTGGGTTTCCTGTGTCTGGTAACATTAACTGTGAAACACCTTATAATCCTGTCCTCTCTGCTTCCTCAGCTGGGATCATATTACTTTCCTTAAGGGCTTGTGAAAAACTGGCATTTGTTTAGCCATTTGGCAAAGATTTCATCAGCATACATTGTGTGACAGAATCTAATAGAGCAGCTGGGATGTAACAGTGAAACAGACAAGATTCCTTGCCCTCTTGGAGCTCTCCATTCCCATGAGAGATGAGTGCAACAGAAAAATAAACAATGTGGTATGCTTAACGAATGTTCACTGACAAGGTAAAAAGGGAAAGTGGGAAATCAATAGCTGTTTGAATATAAACTTTAGGGTCAGGGGTGGCTGCCTGAGCAGCAGTGACTTTTGAGCAATGCTCTAGAGCAGGGAAAGAAACCAGCTGTCAGGAAATCTGAAGGAAGAGTGTACCAGACAGAAAGGACAGCTACTGCAAAAGCTCTGATGCAGCAGGCCAGTGCTACAGTGGAGGAAGGCAGTGGAGGAGTGGAAAGACTAGAGGCTGAGGAGCTCATGGGAGATGGGTGAGATGGTTACTAGAAGGACTGGATTGCAATGCGACATGTAGCGCTCAGGTCATGTTCAGGGGGCTTTGAATAGAGCAGTGATGTCTGCGATTTCCCACAGGTCTCTAACTGCAGTATGGTCTAGACAGCAGGGCAGAGTAGGGTGGGGCCAGGCCAGCAAGAACAGGTAGAAGGACACTGTGCTGCAGAGGCCCAGACAAGGTGTTCCCACAACCAGTGCAGTGGGGTGAGACAAGTAGGTAGAGTCTTGATATTTTTAACTTGATGATGAGCGGGGTCAGAAGAGCGAGAGCAAGAGAGGAGGAGATGTTACCCCTGATTGCTCTGACCTGAGCAGCAAAGGACACAGCTTCACAGCCACCTCTAACTCTGACCACATGGCAGCAATCACTATAGCATTCATTCATGTTTGCTGACGCCCATTCTCTCCAGCTGTGGCTGCCTAACATGGGCCCTCACTATCACTCTCCTGGCTTTTACTCTCTCCTTCGTTCACTCTATCTTCCTTATTATCAGGCCTTTCAGTTCCACAAGACTTAGTGCACTAAAAAACATACAAAATACCACCTCCTTCTTAATGGTCTACCAATGTTTATAAATAAGAGGAATACTTTTGCTGCCCATGCTAGTCACACTTCTGTTACTCCAAAAATAAAAAACCCTGAGATAATCATCTTAATAAGAAGAAATTTTTCTTTTCTTTTTTTCTCATAATTTTGGAGGTTTCTTTTCATAATCTTTTGATCCTAAGCCTTTTACCTGTTCTGGAACATTTTAGAAGGAGCAGCTAAAGAGGCAAAATTGCTCACCTCATTGTCAGGGAGGGAAGGAAGACAGAGGAATGGACAGGAAACTGCTACCTTCAAGTATGCATTGACCCAAAGACCTCTTATAAGTACCCATTTCTGCAAGCTCCCACCATTTGGGCTTTGCTAAGTTATTTAAATTCCAAATTATAACACCTTCATTGAGTTAGTTCTTCAATAAATACCTAAATGCCTTACAGGGAAGATATAGGAGATAAATAAGCTTCATTCAGGTTTCACTTATAATGTACTGAGCCACACATTCAGTGTTAATGAGTCAGTGATACAGTATATCCAAAAGAAGAGACCTGACTATCTCTACCATGTAGAAAGTGGTAATATGTGATCTGTCATGTCATAAAGCTATAAAAAAAAAGTTGGAAAGCAGAGCAACTTGTGGATTCATGAAATGATGGCTACCCCCCCCAAAATTATAGTAGTATACAACATTATTGGGAGGCAGAAGCCAAAGAAACTTCCAGTGTTAACACTGGAAAACATTAAGCTCTTCCCAGGCAATGTTTTATCAAAAATAAATTTTCTATATAACATATTTTTGCAAGGAATATATGTTGTACCATGTGTCTTTGAACAGAGACTCACACACACAATAAAAATGATGAAAATGGTGTGACAAAAGGCTGACAGGACCCTAACTCTGGAATTCCCCATGGATCATGGTTCAGCATTTGCTAATTCAATTTTTATTAAAATTGTGCAGACATATTGACTATGATACGTTACAGATTGAAATACATTTATAGATATGTTAATGTAAATATGTATATATATATATATATATATATAGAGAGAGAGAGAGAGACAGAGAGAGAGAGAGTCGTGCTTCTCTATCACCTCTGTTATCAGCTTACCAACACTTGCTACCTTGTAAAGTTAAGCCTTTTGTTTTATGAATGTACTCCCAGTTTTAGGAACTTGAGCTTCTATGAACAAGGTTCAGAGCCATGGTACTGGATTTATTCTCTGATTAGTAGAGGGAGGCATGGGAGTTATTTGGGGAAGGGAAACCACAAATATGTTAATGCTTTCTTCCATAGAGTTTCCTCATTGTGCCCCCTGTGACTGATGGTGTGCTGCTACCCAAAGCATCAGAAGACGTGGCTGGAAAAAATTTCAACACTGTCCCCTACATTGTGGGAATCAACAAGCAAGAATTTGGCTGACTTAAGCCAACAGTGAGAGTGTACAGGCCTCTCAGACAGATCTACCACTCTCCCTTATCATTCCTTCAGCCTCTGATCCCAAGAGTTCCTCTTTTCCTAAGCCCCCTACCTAGTCCAGGACAGTTGCTTCTAGAAATAGCCTTGTGGTTAGCTATAATGTGCCTATAGGGTACAGCATGGGGAAATCTCCCCACCCTCTGCAACACTCATTGCCTTCCTATTAAAGAATCCTTATGCTCAGACTCAGAGGCCTTTAAAGATTAAAAAAAAATAAAAAGAAAGAAAAATTTGTGCCAGTAGAAAAATTCAGGTTGTTTATAATGAATAAGAAATGTCAGGCTTGTGAGGTAATAGGTTCCACCTTAGACTTGAGCTCACAGGTCCCATGGCTTTCCACCATATACTCTCAAGTTCCCGCAGTGGGGACATTCACATAAAATATCTTGTTGAAATAAAATTGGCTTTTAAATGGGAAGAAGAGCTTTTTTTCTGTGAAAGATAATGGCAGGACACTAATTAAAATGTTAGGATAGGTTTTATTCATTAATGATAGTGCAAGAAAAAGATGAAGCATGACTTGAACTCAAATACATGACCTGAATGCCTGTAGATGTTCCAGGCTGGCTGAGTTCAGGAAGGTACTGACGAATGACCTGACTAGATCACTGGATTTGTTCACCAGACACATTTGTAGGAGAAGTAGACTTCCCTCTGTTTATGAGAGAACATAGAGAGAGGCCCCATTAAAGTTAGACCTTGATTCTTCTGTAGGGATTATCTCAGAAAGATAATCAGTTATTGCCACACATGTATGTATTTCAAAGCGTTTTCCAAAAATTATAACAAAAATTCTCTCAGTTTGGGTTGGAGATTTACATCCCAGTGGCAGAGAAAGGGCTGATATTTGTAAGCTTTCTAAAGTGACTGGTCTAGGAAAAGACTCAGAGATCTATTTGTATGCACCAGGCTTACACTGGAGAAAACAGTAATTTTACCTGTAAGCACTGAGTATTCTCAGGCAGACATTTTGAGTATGCAGTCATCTCAGGGCATGGGTTTAAGCTGCTAGAAGGACAGAATTGGATCAAGTCTATGAGTGCAGAAGTTTGCATAGGGTGTCACATGCAAGACCTGCAGTTCTCACTTCAAAAAGGGCTCAAAGCTTTTCAAGACCAAAGCTACAATGTTGATCTTGTCTTCCTGAGTCCTCTTGAGTCTGCAGGGCCTTGTCAGTTAGTGCCTTCTTTCCCTGATCCCTCGGCTTCAACACTACCCTAACTTGTGTTTTCTTACTTCTTAGGTGACCAGTTTTTTTTCCTGACCTGATAAATACTGTTCAGTGAAGCCATCCTCTTTATACTCCTTTGTTTTATTCATATAACTCCATTCATTACATTGATTTTTTTTCTTTTCAGATTCATAAAAGACCCCATCCTATCAAGGCCCAATGAAAAACTTGCTCTTTGTGCTGATTTTGTTGGTTGTTTAGTTTGGTTCTTCTTGTTAATGTCTAATAATTTGCAAATATTTAATTTTTTTGTTGTTTTTAACAGATGCTAGGATATCCAACCTCTGAAATAAAAATGGACCAGAATATGATACAATCATTTTTTGCAAAGTCTTATGCCATACTTGTAAGTTAGACACTTATATCACAGAAATTGGTCCATTTCAATAACAGGAAAAAATTGGGACCTGAGACTCTGCCCCCTTTTTTCTCACCTTTCCTCTTTCACCACCCACCAATGGTTTACACAGGAATCAAGGGTTTCATGAAAAACAAAGTCTTCTTGCCTGGCTGAGGAAGAAGTCAGGTTATTTACCAGGTGGGATGGTTATTTATTATGCTTTTCAGAACATTTCTGAGGATATGCTTCCTGTAGTCATTGAGAAGTATTTAGGAGATACAGACGACCCTGTCAAAAGAGAGTTGTCCTTGGACCTGATAGGGGATGTGCTGAAATATCGAACATAATAGCAACTAAAATAAAGAAGCAACTCCGGGAAGCTATAAAGGAATTCAAACTAGAAATAGTCTCCCCAGTAAAAGAAGAAATGATAAAAGAGGTGAAGGAGATGCTGAACATATCTAAAGAAGACACAGTTTAAAAACTGGAGGAACTAAAAAAGAATCCCTGGATGAGCAATATAAGAAACAAACAGAATACATAAAGCAGATGCAAAGAGAAATACAGGAAATCAAAAATTCCACTGAAAGTTGTCAAAACTGACTCAACGAAAGTTGAAGATAGAATTTCAGACCTCAAAGACAAGATTGCAGCTAGTGAACAGAAAACGAAAGATCTTTAAAAAAAAACCAAGGAATCAGGAAATAACAATTCAACAGCTGCAAGATGATGCAAACAAAAACAACATAAGATTAATAGGGATACATAAACAAAGGGAACAGCACAAATGATATCAAAAGGCGATTCACAGAAGTCATAGCTGAAAATTTCCCAAACATGAAAATGGAAGCTGACATTAGGATTAGTGAGGCATATAGAACTCCAAATAGGCATAACCAAAATAAAACTACACCCAGACACACAATAATCACATCCCAGAAATCCAGCATAAGAATAGAATACTAAAAGCTGTCAGAGAGAAAAGACAGATCACCTATAAAGGAAGCCTATCAGAATCACAGCAGACTTCTCAACACAAACAATGAAGTCAAGAAGAGCATGGAGTGAAGTATTTCAGATCATAAGGAAAATGATTTTTAACCTAGACTGATGTACCCTTCAAAACTGTCCTTCAAAATGGGTGGAGAAATAAGATACTTCCATGATAAAGAACAGCTGAAGAACTTCATGATCACCACGCCAACCCTGTAAAGAGTACTGAAAGACATTTAGATACACTTAGGGAAAAACCACTAAGCAAGCAGACAATTGAACATAACAGAAAGATAAAGATGCAACAGCAGAAAGATAATGTCAACAATAGCCAACATATAACAGTTATAACCATTAATGTAAATGGTCTCAATGCACCAATTAAAAGAAACAGACTGGCAGAATGGATCAAGAAACAAAATCCTACCATATGCTGTCTACAAGAATGTCATCTAACCCATAAGGATACTCACAGACTGAAAGTCAAAGAATGGAAAACAATATATCATGCAACAGGAACCCCCCCCCCAAAAGCCAGGGTAGCCATTCTGTTTGCAGACAATGTGAGCTTCAAACCAATAATAATCAGAAGAGATAAAGAAGGTCATTACATACTGGTTAGGGGAAAACTTCAAGAGGCAGAGATAACAAATATATATGCAACAAATTCCAGAGCACCCAGGTATATAAAACAAGTATTAACAGAAATAAAAAACCAAATTAAGAATAACATAATTATAACAAGAGACCTTAACACACCATTCACACAAAGGGACAGATCAACCAAACAGAAAATCAGCAAAGCACAGAACTAAATCACACCTGTGAACAAATGGACTTGATAGACATATACAGAGTGTTCTACCCAACAACATCAGAATACACATTCTTCTCAGCAGTACATGGGTCATTCTATAAAATAAACCATATTTTAGCTCACAGAGCATATTTAAATAAATGCAGAAGAGTTGAAATTATCCCAGCGTGCTATCAGGTCATAGTGCCATGAAATTAGAAATTAATGATAAATGATGCTGAAAAAATCCCAGAAACACATGGAAACTGAATAACACACTCTTGAGTAATCAGTGGATCACAGGGGAAAGCAAAGAGGAAGTTAAACAATACCTACAAACAAATGAAAGTACAAATACAACATATCAGAATCTGTGTGATGCATTGAAAGCTGTCCTCAGAGGAAAATTTATTGCACTGAGTTCCCACATCAGGAAAACAGAATGTATAAAAATAAATAATCTGATGTTACACCTCAAACATCTAGGAAAAGAAGAGCAAGTCAAGCCCAAAGCCAAAAGAAGAGAAGAAATTTTAAAAATTGGAGCAGAAATTAATGCAATTGAGACTAAGAAAACAATCCAAATGATCGATGAATCAAAAAGTTGGTTCTTTGAAAGAATAAATAAAATTGATAAGCCCCTAGACAACCTTATTTTAAAAAGGAGAGAAAAAGCTCGAATTAATGCAATAAGAAATTAAAAAGGCAAAATCACTACAGACTCTGTAGAAATACAGAAGATCATCAACACCTATTTCGAAAACCTGTATTCTCAAAGGTTTGATAACACAGAAGAAATAGACAGATTCCTAGAAACATATGAAGTACCAAAGCTAGGTCAAGAAGATGTAAAACTGCTGAATAATCCAATTTCTATTAATGAAATTGAAAATGTAATTAAGTCCTTACCTACAAAGAAGAGCCCAGGCCCAGACGGATTCACTGCAGAATTCTACAAGAAGTACAAAGAAGACTTAATGCCGACACTCCTCAAACTGTTCAATGAAATTGAAAGGGAAGCAATCCTTCCTAAGTCATTTTTGGAAGCAAATATTACTCTATTAACAAAACCTGAGAAAGACCCAACTAAAAAAAGAGAACTACAGACCAATCTCCCTAATGAACACAACTGCAAAAATCCTCAATAAAATATTGGCAAATAGAATGCAGCAAATCATCAAGATGATGATACACCATGACCAAGTGGGATTCATCCCAGGTATGCAGGGATGGTTCAACATACGTAAATCAATAAATGCAATTCTCCATATTAATAAAACCAAAAGTGAGAATCACATGATCATTTCTATAGATGCAGAAAAAGCTTTTGATAAGGTCCAACATTCATTTGTCATAAGAATCTTACAGAAAATTGGGATAGTCTTTACCTCAATGTAATAAAGGCCATCTATGACAAACCAACAGCCAATATCATACTAAATGGCCAAAACCTGAAGGCATTTATTTTAAAAACAGGCACAACACAAGGATATCACTTATCACCGCTCCTATTTAATATAGTACTGAAAATACTAGCCAGAGCAATTAGACAAGAGAGAGAAATAAAAGGGGTAAAGATAGAAAAAGAAATTAAATTATTATTATTTGCAGATGACATGATACTCTACATAGAAGACCCTCAAAACTCCATTGAAAGACTCTTAGATATAATAAATTCAGCAAGGTAGCTGGATACCAAATCAATACTCAAAAATCAATAGCATTCCTGTACACTAACAACAAGATCACAGAGAGAGAAATAAGAGAAGCCACACCCTTCACACTAGCAACCAAAAAAATGAAATAGTTAGGAATTACTGTCATGAAAAAAGTGAAAGACCTATACAAGGAAAATTATAATACACTGAAAAAAGAAATTTAGAGGATCTCAAAAGTGGAAAGACATCCCTTGCTCACGGATAGGAAGAATAAATATTGTGAAAAGGGCCATTCTCCCAAAACTACTATACAGATTCAATGCAACCCCAATAAAAATACCATCAATGTACCTCATAGATCTGGACAAATCACTCCTAAAATTCTTCTGGAACCAGAAGAGACCTAGAATAGCAGATAGTTCTAAGCAGTGAAGGCAAGGCAGGAAGCATCACACTCCCTGACCTGAAGTTATACTATAAAGCAACTGCAGTTAAATCAACATAGTACTGGGGTCAAAACAGAGCCGAAGATCAATGGATTAGATTAGAAGATTCAACTGCAACTACAAACACACTCAACCACCTTATCTTAGATAAAGGGGCCAACCATGTTCACTGGAAGAATGACAGTCTCTTTAATAAATGGTGTTGGAAAAACTGGCTCTCTCTATGCCGAAAACTAAAACTAGACCAATGCCTATCATCATGTACTAAATTAAAACCTAAATGCATTAAAGATCTGAATATTAAAACAGAAACACTAAATCTATTGGAAGACAAATTGGGTAGAAACCTTGAAGACATAGGGATAGGTAGAGAATTCATGAACAGGACTCAAACCGCACAAGAAATACTTCCCAGAATCAATAACTGGGATCACCTCTTATTAAAAAGTTTTTGCATATCAAAAGAAATCTCCAGCATAGTGAAAAGAAAACCCGCAAACTGGGAAAAAAATCTTAGTGAACTCTCCCTCAGACAAAGGACTTCTATCTAAAACATATAAAGAATTTTAAAAAATGAGACCCCCAAAATTCAAAGGTCCAATCCAAAAATGGGCATCTGAGATGAAAACACACTTCTCAGATGAAGAAATACAAATATCAAATAGATACATGAAAAAATGTTCATCATCATTACTCATTGGAGAAATATAAATTAAAACCACACTGAGATTCCATCTCAATCCTGAAAGAATGGCCAGGATGAAGAAAACCACCAACAACAAATGCTGGAGAGGCTGTGGGGAAAAGGA